ACGAACGAACGGAACGAGACCGAACGAAGAACTGACACGAACGAAACGAACGAACAACGAACGAACGAACGAACGAACGAACGAAACGAACGAACGACCGAACGAACGGAACGAACGAACGAAGAACGAACGAACGAACGAACGAACGAACGAACGAAACGAACGAACGAACGAACGATACGACACGAACGAACGAACGAACGAACGAACGAACGAACGAACGAACGAACGAACGAACGAACGAAGAACGAACGACCGAAACGAACGAAACGAAGAACGAACGAACGAACGAAACGAACGAACGAACGAACGAACGAACGAACGAACGAACGAACTAACGAAAGAACGAACGAACGAACGAAACGAACGAAACGAACGAACGAACGAACGAACGAACGGTAACGAAGAACGACGAACGAAACGAACGAACGAACGAACGAACGAACGAACGAAACGAACGAACGAACGAACGAACGAACGAACGAACGAACGAACGAAACGAACGAACCGAACGAAGAACGAACGAACGAACGAACGAACGAACGAACGACGAACGAACGAACGAACGAACGAACGAACGAACGAACGAACGAACGAACGAACGAACGAACGAACGAACGAACGAACGAACGAACGAACGAACGAACGAACAACGAACGAACGAACGAACGAACGAACGAACGAACGAACGAACGAACGAACGAACGAACGAAACGAACGAACGAAGAACGAACGAACGAACGAACGAACGAACGAACGAACGAACGAACGAACGAACGAACGAACGAACGAACGAACGAACGAACGAACGAACGAACTAACGAACGAACGAACGAACGAACGAACGAACGAACGAACGAAACGAACTAACGAACGAACGAACGAACGAACGAACGAAAGAACGAACGAACGAACGAACGACTAACGAACGAACGAACGAACGAACGAACGAACGAAACGAACGAACGAACGAACGAACGAACGAACTAACTAACGAACGAACTAACTAACGAACTAACGAACTAACGAACTAACGAACTAACGAACTAACTAACTAACGAACGAACTAACTAAACTAACTAACTAACGAACTAACTAACGAACTAACTAACTAACTAACGAACTAACTAACTAACTAACTAACGAACTAACTAACTAACTAACTAACTAACTAACTAACTAACTAACTGACTGACTAACTAACTAACTAACTAACTAACTATGTCCCTCTGTCTGTTCTTCTGTCTGTTCTTCTGTCTGTCCGTCCATATATACATATGTTTGTTAAAATTTGGCCTTCAAAAGGTATTTTTTGTATTTTCTATAGCATTGAACCTAGAAACATGAAATTAAATAAATAATGGAAATCTCTAGTAAATAATTTTTGGTACTTTTTCGTTCTTTAACTGCTACTTTTTGGTTCTCCAACTAATACTTATTGAATCTTTTATAATAATGAATCTAAAAAAAGGCAAAACTAAACAAGCAACGTACGGTATACGAGATTCGGTACAACCTAATATAGAACTCCTACTTGTTTTTTTTTCCGTCTTTTCATGTTTGGTTCACAGTCATCTCCTACACTACTCCATCGTTTTGATGCTAGTAAAGGAAGAGTATGGGTTTGAATGAAACAAATACATGACCGGATATGAAATAACATGATAAAAGCATGTGTTGCTTGAAAAACAACAGCAATTCAAAGAGTTCTTTCCGCAAGCCATAAGATACTGTTCCATAGCCAAAACCACAATGTTCAAGTTGTTAAACTATTAATGACTGAAACTACAAATGAAAATGTCAAGTGATTTGGAAGGCTTAAAAGATAAAATCGATAAGGTTAGACAAATTTAAAAATACAGCATACATTTCAAAGATATTATGAGAAACTTTAGTTTTTAATTAATGGAAAAATGGCATCTTCATCATGTGAATTTTAGTCTACTGAGAGAAAGTCTTATAAGAGAATGACTCAGAGATGTTCTTAAAAGAAACACTACATTTTAGACCTCTTATTGGTCTCAGTAAAGTTCAATTTCCTTCAACACCTATTATCCTAAAACTTCTTTAAAACATGTTTAAATTAAACCCAGTTTTATGATCAAACATAATCTCTTTCAAAACCCGAAACTCTTGGCTTAAAAGCAAAAAACTTGAATTTTAAATACAAACTCTTAAATATTATTTAACAGAAATTAAATACCATTTCCATATACAAAATACATACATATGTAATTACATTAATACATTTGTATATTTCATTTAAATACATGTATTGATAATAGTTATTTAATTCAAAATATTTAAACTGATTTTACATTTCAATGCCTTTTTCATGCGTGCATCAAGAGGATTTCATTTATAATAATACATAATAATAATAATAATAAGTATATGCTAATGTATTTATAATGTTTTGCATGCAAAACTATAGAAGAATATTTTACAAAATATTATATTTAAAATAATTTATATTTACATACTCTACTCTCTCAATGCAATGGAGTTTATTATAGATTTTGTGGTTAAAATATAAATTCACAACATTTTTATTGAAATTCAATTCGTATATTGAAAAATAAATAAATAAAAATGCTAATAGAAATGATTGAAATGATATGTGGCTAGTAGTAGTGCAGAGGAGTATGCGTTGTTAGGAGTAATTTGTGGGATAATATAGATTTCGATTTACAGGGAAAGAAAATATAGAATTTTTGGTTTACTTAACTTAAATGTTGGCCAGTAGGCCTAACGAGAGTTACTCATAAAGGTTTTTAATAATATGGCAAAGAATACAATAACATTTTCTTCCAAATGCAATAGACTTTTTCGAGAAAATACCAGGATAATAGGATTTGCAAGACCTTTTTTCACTTAAATACTTTTACATTATTATTATGCGTTTGTGCTGATGTTTGTAAAAATATTGATGTTATATCCACCTTAAAGTATACTAAGAATCACTTTCAGGGACGATTAACATGTCCGTCTCTCCAAGTGGCTGGCCACAATTTTCAAGATATTTTAATAATATTTGGACATACGTGTTTATCGGCATAAGCCGTAAGCCTTCTGAAAATGGTTGAAAACGATTCATTATTTTACCTAGCCCCCAAACCGGACCTTCCCTTTTTGAGTTTTTAGCTCATAACTATCTCAAATATACTACTATTGCTCCAAAATATGGCACAACTAAGTTATGTATAGGCATAAATAATCATGTCGATTTTTGTATTGATCGGCCTGATATTTGTATAAACCCTAGCCGCCATTCAAACCATATTTGAAAACTTTCTTAAACATCCAATTTTGCCTTAGAAATTAGAATTGCATTGAAATTAAACATAACTAAATTTTATAAAATACATATACACATATCATTAAATAAATACATTCCTCCTCGCTTGTTTCTGAGGATCGGCCCATATTTAACCCTAAGTCTCTTAGAAAGCCTCTGTTAGAAAATAAGTTTTTCATCAATAAATTGCTTAAATACATCGGAATAAGGCAAAGTTAGTTAGTTAGTTATTTAGTTAGTTAGTTAGTTAGTTAGTTAGTTAGTTAGTTAGTTAGTTAGTTAGTAGTTAGTTAGTTAGTTAGTTAGTTAGTTAGTTAGTAGTTAGTTAGTTAGTTAGTTAGTTAGTAGTTAGTTAGTTAGTTAGTTAGTTAGTTAGTTAGTTAGTTAGTTAGTTAGTTAGTTAGTTAGTTAGTTAGTTAGTTAGTTAGTTAGTTAGTTAGTTAGTTAGTTAGTTAGTTAGTTAGTTAGTAGTTAGTTAGTTAGTTAGTTAGTTAGTTAGTAGTTAGTTAGTTAGTTAGTTAGTTAGTTAGTTAGTTAGTTAGTTAGTAGTTAGTTAGTTAGTAGTTAGTTAGTTAGTAGTTAGTTAGTTAGTTAGTTAGTTAGTTAGTTAGTTAGTTAGTTAGTTAGTTAGTTAGTTAGTTAGTAGTTAGTTAGTTAGTTAGTTAGTTAGTTAGTTAGTTAGTTAGTTAGTTAGTTAGTTAGTTAGTTAGTTAGTTAGTTAGTAGTTAGTTAGTTAGTTAGTTAGTTAGTTAGTTAGTTAGTTAGTTAGTTAGTTAGTTAGTTAGTTAGTTAGTTAGTTAGTTAGTTAGTTAGTTAGTTAGTTAGTTAGTTAGTTAGTAGTTAGTTAGTTAGTTAGTTAGTTAGTTAGTTAGTTAGTTAGTTAGTTAGTTAGTAGTTAGTTAGTTAGTTAGTTAGTTAGTTAGTTAGTTAGTTAGTTAGTAGTTAGTTAGTTAGTTAGTTAGTTAGTTAGTTAGTTAGTTAGTTAGTTAGTTAGTTAGTTAGTTAGTTAGTTAGTTAGTTAGTTAGTTAGTTAGTTAGTTAGTTAGTTAGTTAGTTAGTTAGTTAGTTAGTTAGTTAGTTAGTTAGTTAGTTAGTTAGTTAGTTAGTTAGTTAGTTAGTTAGTTAGTTAGTTAGTTAGTTAGTAGTTAGTTAGTTAGTTAGAACTGTTTCGGTCAAATGGAAAACTCTAAAAAGGGAAACTTTTATCCTTTAAGCCAGCTCATCAAATATTGATCGCAGGACAAACATGTTAAAAAATAATATCTTAGAATGAACTAAGCTTTCCCATTCTTTCAGAACATCCTAATTTTTCTCTATATAAACGGTGCTATCCTAATGTATACAAGTATTTATGTATTTATGGTTTTAAATTATAGGTTACTACATATTTTTAAAATTCATCTGGAAATGTATGTATATTTATACGTATGTATATAGTAGTTACGCATTTGCATATGATTCAAAATTATTGGTTACTAAATATAAAGTATTTGTAGAGAAAAATATTATATTTTTATTTAAAATAAACTTAAATACAACTTAATTGCTTTCAAGTGCAAAGGAGTGTATGAAACTAAAAAACCTGATAAATGCTACTTATCAATACTGGAAAATTGTTTTGTGAAGAATGAAAGAAATAATGCCAGAAAAACGTACGTTTAAATTTTACTTTTAAATAAATAAAATCTTTTAAAGGATTCAAAATGAAATTTTTATAATATTTTATTTTATATACAAGGTACTTTTATTAATTTAGTATAAAAATTAATACTATATTTATTGTACAAAAATAACTAGGAGCTATAGATTCCCCACTCCTCTCCTAAAACTAAACTTAAAAACTAGAATAAAATATACAACAAACTCTTAAACTACCACAAATTTCTCTCTTTAACATTTATGTTAACGAGAGAGATAGTGATTTTTAAATTAAAAATCACCTCTCTCTATCATTTCCATAAGCTTTAACATTTTACTATATAACAGCTCTCGGGCATTGATGCCCCAAACAAAATCTAAATGATTAAATTCATCATAGTTAACCTTAAATTTTCCCACCACATTGGGTAAACGTTGATGTAATTTTTCCACATCCTCTGGAGTGGCCAGCCAATCGTTGATGGAATAATGTAAAGCAACTTTAGCTCTAACATTGGCCAAGTTATAGTCGGGTGGTGTAATCGAATCATAACGCCAATGATTACGTATCCAACCATAATCATATTGTCTAAAATGACCACTACGTTTCAGTTGGCCATAATGTTGCATTTGTTTGGTGGCGGCCCCAGCGGGAGCATGACCCAATATCACCGGCAACATGGTCTCGTTCATTTGTTTCTTATCGAAACCGGCCACCAAAAACATAACATTCGAACAAATGGCCTCGGTTATGGAATCCTCATCGCAAATGATTTGATTAAACATGGTAATAAAATCGTTGCTGGGTAAGAACTCATGGGCTCCAATTAGTTTTAAAAGTAACTGTAATAGAAAATAAAAAATATTAAAAAAACCTAGCAAGAATCCTATTACTTACCGCCAATGGCTCATGAAAGAAGGCCAAAAATTCGACTACCGGACTTTTGGCATGTTTTATAAAGGCCACCGGTGCCAAAGCCTGCATTAACATGATTTTATTATCACAAATTTCCGGGTGTTCACTGCACATTATGAAAAATGTCATGGTACCCTGTGAGTGACCAATATAATGTAACTTTTGGTGATCGGTGCTCTTTAAAACATAATCAACGGTAGCGGGCAAATCGTATTTTCCCATTTCATGAAAAGTAAAGTCCCAAAAGCAGCATGCTTAGTAGTGTATTTAATATGTTTCCGAGAGTAAGTATTGCCGCGCACATTTGTCATCCAAACATCATAACCTTTGTCGTATAGTAGATAAGCTATAAGAGGGAGAATGAAGGAGAGCGTAAATATTTGTATTTTTTTCCTCAGTTCTGGATAATGTCGAATTGTGTTGTTATCTGTTGAGGAATAAACTACGTCATAGTTTGATATTTTGTAGGGGGCTTTTTAAAAGCAATTAACCTTTTGAAAGGCTTATCACTAGGTCAACTATTTTAAGATGATATTCTCAAATGTCTAATAAAGTCGAAATAAAAACTAATCTAACTAATTTAATAGAACTTTGATGTATTTAGTTAATTTTGTCAAATTAGATCGAAATACTTAAAAAATGGGTGTAAAACTTAAAAATGGGGAATTTACAACATCTTCGTTTATAGTCTAGTCTATAGTCTAGTCTATAGTCCAGTCTATAGTCTAGTCTATAGTCTAGTCTATAGTTGTCTATAGTCTAGGTCTATTAGTCTAGTTCTAGGTTCTAGTCTATAGTTAATGTCTAGTCTATAGTCTAGTCTATAGTCTAGTCTCTATTAAGTCTATAGTCTAGTCTAGCTAGTCTATAGTCTAGTCTATAGTCTAGTCTATCGTAGTCATCTATAGTCTCGTATAGTCTCTAGTCTATAAGTCTAGTCATTAGTCTGTCTATAGTCTAGTCTCATAGGTCTAGTCTATAGTCTAGTCTCTAGTCTAGTCTATAGTCTAGCTTCCTAGTCTAGTCTATAGTCTCGTCCATATAGTATAGTCTATAGATCTAGTCTATAGTCTCGTCTAATAGTCTAGTCTATAGTCTAGTCTATAGTCTTAGTCTATAGTCTAGTCTATAGTCTCGTCTATCGTCTAGTCTATAGTCTAGTCTATAGTCTAGTCTAGTCTATAGTCTAGTCTATAGTCTATGTTAGTCTATAGTTAGTCTATAGTCTAGTCTATAGTCTAGTCTATAGTCTAGTCTATAGTCTAGTCTATAGTCTAGTCTATAGTCTAGTCTATAGTCTAGTCTATAGTCTAGTCTATAGTCTAGTCTATAGTCTAGTCTATAGTCTAGTCTATAGTCTAGTCTATAGTCTAGTCTATAGTCTAGTCTATAGTCTAGTCTATAGTCTAGTCTATAGTCTAGTCTATAGTCTAGTCTTATGTTAGTCTATAGTCTAGTCTATAGTCTAGTCTATAGTCTAGTCTATAGTCTAGTCTATAGTCTAGTCTATAGTCTAGTCTATAGTCTAGTCTATAGTCTAGTCTATAGTCTAGTCTATAGTCTAGTCTATAGTCTAGTCTATAGTCTAGTCTATAGTCTAGTCTATAGTCTAGTCTATAGTCTAGTCTATAGTCTAGTCTATAGTCTAGTCTATAGTCTAGTCTATAGTCTAGTCTATAGTCTAGTCTATAGTCTAGTCTATAGTCTAGTCTATAGTCTAGTCTATAGTCTAGTCTATAGTCTAGTCTATAGTCTAGTCTATAGTCTAGTCTATAGTCTAGTCTATAGTCTAGTCTATAGTCTAGTCTATAGTCTAGTCTATAGTCTAGTCTATAGTCTAGTCTATAGTCTAGTCTATAGTCTAGTCTATAGTCTAGTCTATAGTCTAGTCTATAGTCTAGTCTATAGTCTAGTCTATAGTCTAGTCTGTAGTCTAGTCTATAGTCTACTCTGTAGTCTAGTCTATAGTCTAGTCTATAGTCTAGTCTATAATCTAGTCCATAGTCTAATTTATAGTCTAGTCCATAGTCTAGTATATTCTATAGTCTAGTCTAAATTTTAGTCCATAGTCTAATATATTCTATAGTCTATTCTATAGTCTAGTATACTCTATAGTCTATTAAGGAGGCACTATTCCAACAATAGGCCTAAATTCAGTTACAGTATCTAGAGATTCTATACTTATTAACCAAACTAAACTAAATGAAAATCATTTGTGTTGAACAAAAAGTCCGTTAATAATACTCTCCTCATCATAGTGTCGATCAAAAATATATATATTTTGCTTTAATACTGTTACTTACCTAAACCTTTATTGGGGCCCATTAACACCCATGTAGCTGAACTATCCAAAAGACCATGAGTCAATAAGACCGGTATAGCGCCTGGTTTAGCTATACGATGTATTTCCAAAATATAACCATCATCGGTGGTAACATTATGAATTTCCGAGGGATAACCATATTTTCTTATTAAATCCGGCTAAATATATAGATATCACATGCTTAAAACAATAATAAAATTAACACTTTTTTTTGTACACCAACCGTTTTCAATAGCGAATCTTCAATTATATCCGGATCAATAGACACTTCATTTGAATAATTATTTTCCACTGAATTTGTTGCACTACGTTCCACCGGTTCCGAACCGCCAAATATTGACAAAGAACCACTGAATTTGGGTATATCGAATAGGTGAACATTACCCAAGGAAAAAGACCAAGCATTTGAATCCTTTTCGGCAGCCCAAATACACAAATTTAGATTAATTATTAAAAATAATATTAAGAAAAAACGCATTTTTAAGGGCTTGAATTGAAATGTCGTTATCGTCGCCGTCATATTTCTTGAAGGTTTAAATAACAACTGATTGCAAAAATATTCTATTTCTCAATTACTAGTTGTTTGTAGGGGCATTTTTACAGAAATTAAAATTAATCAAGTTTTTTTTTTCTACTGCGAAAAAAAGCACACAAACCGCTGAAAACAACAGCAACAACAACCAAACATATTGTAAACAACTCTCAGTAAAAGATTGTGTTTAATAATAATAATAATGAATGATTGTATTATTTATGAACACTAAGAACGCGTTGGACGGCCCCATTTGAAGAGAAGATGGTCAGTGTCAAAGTTCGTTAAAAATGATTAAATGCACTTGGAACAACGCATGTCAATAAATTTTGTTGTCATTTAAAACGTTCTCTTTTTGCTTATCACTGATCTAAAGCTATTGCTCATTGCTTTAGATACTCGTTTTTATGGATCAAGAGTAGAGATCGATAGAGGCGAAGAGTGACAATTAACTCTCTTTCTGAACAAACAATAGAGTGTGGGAAGAGTTCTTTCCCTTTAATTAATCTAGAGCAGTGATAGGCACAAAGTAAGAACTTAGCTCTGTGATCATACAAACGTTTGATATCAAGAACTTAACAAAGATCTTAAGAGATCTCCTGTGAATCTTTCGGAAACTGTATATCTTCTGAGTTAGAACTGTTATTTTGGTGAAGATCATCGATCAAGAATCACTCTCTTCTCCGTAAATCTAATCGCAAGTGTCTTACTTAATGCCTCTTTTTCTGTCTATAATATTTTTAAATTTGTTGGTCATCACTTTTATTATTTGTGGTTTTCTTTTTGTTATTGTACTATGTACTGCCATACATCCAAACATAAAGTCTACACAAAAACAGAGGAAGAGAGAGTGAGAGATAACCTTTAAAATTTCAAGTACCGATAAGACGATCAACATCAGTACTTAAACACTTCTCATCCAGAAAGTGTTGTGTGTCGTCTTTATTAATATTTTTAACAATCAATTAATATTATTTATTTATTTCATACAGATAAGAGTGTTTCCCATTCACAAAGAAACCAGGCATTATGACGCACATCACGAGACTTTTTCTGAACAAAAATCTACAAAAATATTTTGTTCGAAAGCTTAGAAAAGATGAAAGTAGTATTTTTAGTTTTAATTAATACCCTGTAACTCTGTTACAGTCAATGAGAGACTGGAGAGCTTAAAGGGCCGATATAGTTTATTACAAACGAGCCTCTTTTTAGAAAATACCAGTTTGAAAGTAAAAACGTAAATTTGTTGTAAGTGTTCTTTGCGAAATTGTAAATATATAACATTAATTGAGCTACAGATTGAGAAAACGTTTTTTTAAAGCTATAGATTTAATTGTACCCTATATCAGGTTATGAGTAATCAATATTATTGATTACATTTGCTGCAGTCATTGACATTATCTATATATTTGATTAAAGTTCAATTTACAATTTTAACAGCATGGACTAAACTCTACACAATAATTTATTATCGACCGATAAGCTTATTTTATACGAAGTGACCTAAAGAGAGTAAATTTTTCGGAAAACTTAATAAACATTTGAATTATATTCTTAACTTGTATGAATATAGGTAGATACAGAAGTATTTATTTCATCATAAAAGGTTTATAAAATTCTACTCAACTTAGGTTTTTGTATAGAAACAACTTAAACATTTTAATAATTATGTATAATTTATATTTAAATTTCCAAAAAGGAAAAAACTATAAAAACAATTTTTCCATTTCTTACAAAATCATGCATGAAATTGCAAAATTAATAATATTTTTTTAAGATATCATACAAATACCTTTACAAATGTATGAGTAATTTCATATCAATATGCATAAAGCCAGCAGTTCGGGAAGGGACAACCCCAATCTAGCTACTGCTTAGGGTAATCACTAGCCACCCGACTACTAACTATTAATCATCACTCCCTTGTTTACAAAGAGACAGTCAGAAAGCTAGTTCAAAGGTGTCAATGTCATAAATTAAATGCTTAGAATCTGCCCTCTAGATTACTTGGTGATCTATTGTCTTCGCTTTGCATTACAAGGGCATATACAAATAAAGCTCAAATTGTGCCCAACCGGACTAACGAATATGGCCTTGGAACCCATATTGACTTGGAGGATTTATTGAGTCTTTGTCGAAGTGCTTTAGTTTGGAGGGTATTATGCGTTTGTTCTGATATTTGAAACAACCAAATAGCACTATACCGATATTAAAGTAATCCAAAAGGCTCAGAATCACTTTCCGAGTCGTTTTACATACATATGTAAGTGGGTGTGTCCATAATTGTACCCAACCGGACTTGGCCTTGGCACCTATAAGTTTTATACCCTTCACCTTCATGAAAAAGTTAAGCGTCGGAATGCTTTAAGTGAACATCTGCCTTTTCGGCCATATTTCACGGTGGTACTTTTGCAACCACAGGGTAAGCTATGTTGGGTGCCTTGCACCCACTCGCAGGGGGCAGTTTTTGTACATGGCATTTACGCGATATAAAAAATATCACTTGAGTTTATAAACCACACAGATGGAATGGTCTCAGTTCGTTACCACGACAATTGGATCTGCGCTCCGGAACGACTCGATTTCCAAACGACCAAAGATTGTCAACTCAGCAACAGCTGTATCAACCGGAAGTTTTTTTTTTCAGGGAAGAATAACCATTCACAGCCAATCTATTACAACAACAATGGACTCTGTTAATTCGGCAATAGCACCTAGAGACGGAATCGGTAGAGCGAAATACGAATCTATCAAAAAAGTCAAAGACACGACCTTACTCATAGAGAACACACTGTAATAAGCCTGTTTTGAATAGAGTAAACCCTGAACATACCCTGAAGGAAGAGATATTCAATGGTGTCTCTTGTATAAGATATCGGCCATATCCATAATCATTCAACTCAGCACCCATCTTATCTGACGCATTCATTGAGAAAAGCATCCAATGGGTAAGGCCCGCATACCCCTACATTCATCCAAAGCTTAGTCCTACAGTGACTTGTTCGTTAGATATCTGTTGCCTTTTCTGACAACAGCACCGAACTTATCCCGAAATATAGAACGCACCATGTATCAGTTTTTTAACTAACAATATCTTCCCGCGAGTTTGGTTGTAAACTACATCCACCACGTGCACTCCGAAGGGACCTCTCCAATAACCGGCACAAGACAAAGTCTAAAACTCTGTCCTACCGCTACCGGTTCAGATAATATGGCTCTTGGGTTCGACCAAACATCAAAGGACACAACTAGTTTAAGGATGATGGAGGATCATCAGGGAAACATGCCCCCGGGGGAGGTTAAATGTGGGATAGGTATATATAAGTTTGTTATTTCGCTTGTGATTTCTACAATATGATATTCCAATACTATAAAGTTTATATATTCTGGATCCTTTTAGATAGCGAAGTCGATTGGCTTATGTCCGTCTGTATGTATATCTGTCTGTCTACTTGACAGTCTGTTGAAATTAGTTTTCTGAAAACCACAGATATCTGCCACCCATCTCACTTATCCGACGCATTCATTGAGAAAAACATCCAATATACCTGTTCAAAACAGGTGGATGGGCAAGGCCCGCATACCCCCACATTCATCGAACGCTTAGTTCTACAGTGACTTCTTTGTCAGATATCTGTTGCCTTTTCTTTCAACAGCACCGAACTTATCCCGAAATATAGAAGGGACCTCTCCAATAACCGGCACAGGACAATATCCGAAACTCTGTCCTGTTGATTACCGGATAATATGGCTCTTAGGTTCGACCACACGTCAAAGGAAATGCCAAGGATACATTTGACACCACTAGTTTAAGACGGACTAGAAGTACTGGCAACACCTTTTCCCCCAATATGATGGAGGATCATCAGGGAAACATGCCTCCCGGGGGAGGTCAAATGTGAGATAGGTATATATAAGTTTGTCATTTCGCTTGTGATTTCTACAATATATTATAAATTTGTCAGTATGTCCGTCTGTTGAAATTAGTTTTAAAGTTTATAAATTCTGGATCCTTTTAGATAGAAAAAGTCGATTATGTCCATCTGTATGTCTATCTGTTTGTCTGCCTGTCAGTCTGTTCGTCTGTCCGTCTGTCTGCCTGCCTGTCAGTCTGTCCGTCTGTTGAAATTAGTTTTCTGAAAACCCCAGATATCTGCGAAATCCAATAACTCTATTAGACATGGTTTCGAGATGTTTCCTATTTAAAATCATAGGTAAAATTCCAACGAGATACAGGTCTTCTTTTTTCTCTCTAATTCACTCCTAACCCTTAAAGCAGGTCCATTATCAGGCCCATAATATAAATATATTAACGTTAAAAGTTAATTTTGAAAAAATCTGAAAAATATTCTCCTTTCTATGGATTGACTCACATAGCAAAAAACAAATTGCATGTTATTATTATATTACTAAAAATAATAAAGAAAAATATCTATAATAACAAAATAATCTATAATAAGAAAATATATAAAAACAATAATTTTAAAGGGGGAAGTAACACTACTCAACAATATCACATCCGATATTCGTTAAAAATGTTTAATTTTATTAAAACCTTTAAAATGTCTTTGTTTAACTTAAACAAAAATGTATCAAAAAGTCAATCCATATAAAAATTGCTTAGTAAACTCTTTTAAGGTAACTTCCCTCGCTCTCTAATTAGTCATTATTGCTAAAACAAAGTAATTTTGTACAAATAAAAAAAATATTTATGATAATACTTAAATTGGCAGTATTATAAATAAATTAATTTACTAATAATAATTTCTTCAAAATAACAAAGTTCAATTTACAAAATGAAATCAATACTATAATTAGTAACACTAGAAAAAATCACATCTTAATCACATGTTAACGAAAAAAATATAATAACAATTTTGTTATTATTAAATATTTAAACCAAGTTAAGTCACTGTAAAAAGTACTAAATAACAATAAGTACCTTTTTAAGTACAACACTTGAAAAGTACTCAAAATCGCTGATTATCACACTAAAGAAGTCAATAAATTTAAAACAATTAAC